GCGGTCGGTCACTGAGCTCGTCGTCGCCTTCAATTGTAACCCCTCGCCGAAGTTCGCCTTCATCTCGTCCGTTTCTTTGCTTGTAGAACCGTAGAGGGGTAGCCTCGCGAGGGTCGTGATTCGCGACTGGGTTCGCGCGCTAGGTGACTCGATCATGGATTTCTGGATTCTGTTGCCGGAGTCGATCATCTGCAAGGGGCCTTCCGTCCTTCGCCCACACCTGGGTCGACGTGGGGATGGGGTATAGGGTGCATCTCCCTCCTTGCTGGAACCCTATGATTTCTTACATTCAGGTTAGCATCTTCTTCCTCGTCGTCAGAATCTGAGTTGATATCTCCTTGCACATTTTTCTGCCTGCTCGTCTGTTCTGCCCTGGGTGTATGATGCTTCTCAATAGTCATCGCAGTTAACATCTGCGTGATATTGCGAAGAACTTCATCATCCCTTCTAGTCGTTCAATTTTTCAAACCTCTGTTCGTGTTTGTCTACCACTCGAACAGTCCTCAACCATCAGATTGAGGTGAATTCCTTGTTTTGATACCAATTTTGGTGCTGAAACTTTATAAAATTCTTATAATAAGAATTGAAAATAAGAATTATATTGAAATAGGAACATTGACCAACAATAATGATTTCAAATTATCATTTTAAATTGTTGAGCTAAAAATGGATTAATAAGGGGGATTCGACATCTTAGCAATACTNTTTGTATTGATATATGATTGATTGTCTTGAAAAGTGTACAATACTTATATATTTATAGGTGATAATACCAAAAATCGTACGTCGACTTCCGGGCCTGACGACTGAGAATGAGCACGAACGAGGTCTTCCGGTACCTGAAACAAAGGCGTCGAGGTGTGTCCTCGTCGCCCCTCCGATGCTTAAGTCAGAGAGGGAATTATGAAAACAGTCTATGCTGTAAATTATGTGTAAAACATACCTTGATAACTGATGAGAATGATGTATTTATAGAGGTAGGTGGAGGATTCCTTGTAGGATTATAATGTTGAGATGCCTAGGAGTCCTAGTGCAACTAGAAGTTGTAATGTAGCTGGTTTCCTATTGCCCATGTGTTTGGATTAGGATAGAATTCTGGTGGTAGAGACTTTTTAGGATGAGGTATCATGATAATAGTAGGACTTTCCTTTTTGGGATAGGATCAGCCCTGTCTTAGAGAGAGATCCTAATGCAGCACGGGTTCCCGAGCTCGAGGAGGGATAACCCCGAGGACATCTTGGGGGAGTCCCACAAAATGGGCCCTCACATCCTCGGGATATCTATTCGGGTTACTATCCGATATTGGGATCATCAATAGGCAAAATTATTCCCTAATCCTATTAATAAAAGGACTAAAATAAGAAAACTAAATTCTAAAAGGAAATAAACTAATCATAATCTAAACAAGATTTAAGACTAAACCTATTACAACTAGAAAATGAAATTATAAAAGATAATTTAAAAAAGACAAATTCCTAAATAAAGTGAAACTA